GGGCGGGACAGCACAAGCCCCTGGGGGACAGGGCTTACCCCTACCCCCACTGCACCCCTCTGGCCAGGACTCTTCCCCCCTCGCCCCCGCCCCCCATGTCCAGGGACTGCAGCCCCAGGGGGCCTTACCTGCATGAGCAAGGCCCCGATGGTGGACTTGTCCATGCCAAACTGGTTGCCCACTGACCAGTAGCTGTCCAGGGTGGCGAACTTCCAGAGGATGATGGCAACCCTCTTCTCCATGGGGATGGTGGGCTGCAAGTGGGGGTGGGGGGCAAGCCAGGCACACTGCTCCAGGAACGTCTTCTTCCTCATGCCGAAGTGATGGAGCCACTGCTGGTTGTCCCACTGCTCCATCACTAGCCAGTCCCACCAGTTGAAACTGGTGTCCAGCCTCCAGAACCACCTCTCCACAGTGGGCTGCAGTTGCCACAGTAACTACTGCATCCAGGGAGAGGGACTCCATATTGAGCTCAGAGTTGAGCTCATGCAGGAGCTGCGTGGAACCATGAGGCAACTGCTGCACAAACTGCTGCAGGGCTGTGGGGGGCCAGGACATGCCCAAGGGCATCTCTGGCTCCATGGCACAAAATGGAAAAGCTGTCATGTCCAAAGCAGCACAGGGCAACCACAGCAGGCACTGCTACAGCTTTATTGGTCCTCAGAGAGGTCCACAAGCACAAGAAAAACAGCTGTTCAGGGAGGTCCCTTTAAGTATGTGCATCTGCAGGGCTCCAGCATCAGCCCTAGGAAGCAACTGGTGACCTTTTGCCCTGCCTGAAGTGGTTCTGGGTGGCCTTTTTTGTGCAAGAGCATCCATGCAGTGTGGACGCTTTCCGCGCAAGAACTTTTTGTGGAAGATCTCTTCCGCAAAAAGGCTCTCGCGCAAGAAGCCTGCAGTGTAGACGTAGCCCAAGTAACTAACAGATGGTAGAGATCAATCATACCATCTTTGAATCAAAGAGTGGGCTGGAACTTAGCAATAATAAGGACAAGAACACACTTTCCAATTCAGAAAGATTGTTTGGGCATCTAAACGTTACTCAATTTAATACAAGTGATAAGCAGGGCTTGCCAAATACAATCTACTCGCCCATGGCGAGCAGATTGTAACCCGGAAGAGCCAGGTTCGGGCGATCTGCGCATGCGCAGATTGTTGGACAGTGCAGCTGGCGAGCCCTGGTGATAAGTATATGCCAAGCTGTTTCCTGCTCTAGACTTGGAACAGGGGAAACTGCATCACAGCAGTGAAAGCGAAGATGATGCTAGAAAGCCTATTCAATTAAGCTGTTTAACACAAGTATCTTGCACCATTGAAGTTAGTTTATTAATAGAGCCAGCAAATAAGCTTTTAATATTTTACCCAAATGGTGGGGGACACAAAGATCTGCTATAGTATGTGGGTAGGTAGTCTAGGAGGGTGCTGAAGCACTGGAATGGGTTACCTAGGGACATGGTGGAATCTTCATCCCTAGAGGTGTTTAAGGCTCAGCTTGACAAAGCCCTGGCTGGGTTGATTTAGTTGGGATTGGTCCTGCCTTGGGCAGGCAGCTGGACTTGATGATCTCCTGAGGTCTCTTCCAGCTCTATGATTCTGAGATGCATTGAAATACCTTAAAAATAGTTTGTGATCATATAATTAAAACATGCGACTCCTGCTAGTGTTACTGCACAGGATGGACGATACTCGGTTTTTCAGTGAATGAGACTGTTGCCTATACCCTGGCCCAATTTGTTACAGAAGTTAGAAGATGTATAGGCAATGAGGCAGGGAAATGCAGGAAAAGGAAATATCATTTCATGGTTAAGGTGGTTAAATGTTACCCAGAACTCAGCTTCTTCACAGAACTCCTACATGATGCTGGGCAAATCACAAACCAAAGTGTTCAAAATTGTGTTCCTTGTTTTCTGGGTGCCCAGCATGAAATACACAGGACCTGGTCTACAGATGTGACACTCAACCACAGCTGAAGTCAGTTGGAGCTCTGCTCTGAATATGTGATACATATTGTTAAGTACTCTTAAAAAATAAACAGGCTTTATGAGTCAATTTGGTCACTTAAAACTAGTGGTCATGACAATCTCAGCCTTAATCTCTTCAGGCCTCAGCTCCTCAACATAGGTGTTGTGAAGATTCATGTTTGTACAATATTCAGATCAATGATCAGCATCAGAAAAATACCTATGAGGGAATTATTTTTGAATGCAATAAAGAATTTAGATAATGTACGCAAATTAAAGCCTGAAGCTATACACTGAATGGGGAGGATAAAAATATGTAATATCTAGCCAGTCACAAAATGAGGTGGGTATTCTGTGGAAAAAGTACTATGTAATCATGCATCACAATTAGGGCCCTACCAAATTCGTGGCCATTTTGGTCAATATCATGGTCAAAGGTTTTTAAAAATCCTAAATGTCATTTCCACTATTTAAAGCTAAAATTTCAGGTTATTGCTTCTGACCCAAAAAGGTTGTGTGCAGAGTTGCAAGGTTATTGTAGGGCTGATTGAGGTGCTGCCTTCAGAACTGGGCAGTTGGATAGCATTGGCTGCAGGCCAATGAGCCCTGCTCTGAAAGAAGAGTCACCAACAGCAGCAGCAGCACAGAAGTAAAGATAGCATTGTATGTTATTGCCACCTTTACTTCTGCACTGCTGCCTGCATTGCTAGGCCCTCAGTCAGCAGCAGCCACTCTGGCTGTCCAGCTCCGAAAGCAGCAGCACAGAATTAAGAGTGGCATGATATGGTATTACTATACTTATTTCAGTGATGTTGCAGGCAGGACTCTTCCTTCAGAGCAGGGCAATTGGACAACAGCAGATGTTCTCTGCCCACTTAGCTCTAAAGACAGCTTCACCACCCGCAGCAGTGTAAAATTACTGCTGCCACCTAGGGATGTAAGCAAGTAGTTGAGTAGGCTTATCAGGGAGTTGAGTTGACTACTCGCTCCCCCCCTTCCACCCCACTGCCTTTGTATCAGAGACAGTAGGGAGGAGCAGGGAGGAACAGGACACAGTGCTTAATAGCCAGGTTAACCCCAACACCATCTCCACAGTGCCACCTGCCCTCCCTCCGCACCCTGCACTGCTGCTTCTATCAAAGGCGGGAGGGCAGGGGATAGGAGAGGCTGGCACAAAACTGCAGAGATCGTCCTGTCTTGTCAGTCAAGGAGCTGAGTGCCTTCTCTTAACTAATCGTGTAGTCAATAGAAATTGTATTGACTATATGATTAATCAATTACTCGCCTCTAAAATAACCTAGTGACACCCCCTTCCAAGAAATTCCCTTCTGGAAAAAGACCACTCAATTGAGAAATCGTCTTCCCCACGAAATCTGTATAGTATGGGTAAAAACACAAGAGACCAGATTACATGGTCCATGATGTGTTTTGATGGCTGTGAATTTGGTAGGGCCCTAATCATGATAAACATACAAGGGAACCAAATTAAAGTTGCACAGGCAACCTTAATTCTGGCCATTTCTAACTTTTAAGTGCTTTATTTGCAAGCATAATGATTTAATGTATATTATGTATAAAATTATTAAAATTATTGAAACAATTGGCAGACAAAATTTTGCTGTTATCTAAGTTTGTTCATGCTTGAGTAAGATGCATAAATGGCCCAATAATTGAAGCAGAGGAAAAAAACAAGTGCTGTTTACACCCTTCAGCTGCTCTGAACAGGGTGCACAGGCATTGTAGTTTACTGCCATCCCGTTCCAAAGGGAAGAAAATAATCCCTGTTCACACTGATCGCAAGGAAACAGTGTATGCTACTAGAGTTTCAATTAAATGCCCATTACTAGTACTTATTTTAAATGTTTATTGTATAACTTCAGAAGTTTTCTCAAGTCAGGTCTGTGCAGAGTAAGAGTTTATGACTTATCTACAATGACTAAGCAAAAAAAGAGGCTAAACAAGTGCAAAGAGTAAAGATTATGCATAACTGAGCCAAGTAAGGTTAAAAGAGTATGCAGAAGAGAGATTACACAAAGCAGATGTGGCACCAGCTACAAATCCTGCCCTTGAATCAGTTTTCATAACTATGTGGTGAAAGACCAGGACAAAGGTCTTAAACAAGGACTGAACTTGAATAACCTTGAGGTTTACAGTATATTTAACAAACTGAATCAACAGAACCTCTTGAACAGCCAAGTTACATGTATAATTAAATCTTTGGAAAGGGTGAATCCAGCTTTAAAAAAAAATTAACATTTTCCCTAATTCTTTGCTGAAGAGAAAAGCAACTAGTAAAAAATGAAATTATGCTGGCTCTTAATTAGGAACATGTATATTTATATCCACACATCAAGTATGATCCAAAGCACACCAAGTATTTTCACTGACTCATCAGGCCCCAACAGTAGGATATCCTATGAGATGACTTTACCCTTGTCTACAGATCCAATGGTACAGCCCTCCCTACTAGAGATACAACTTATATCAAAAAACAAGGTTTTTGCTGGTATAGCTTGAGCCCGCTCCCAATATGAAATGAATTACACCAGCAAAAGGAATTTGTCAGTATAAATTGTATATACCCCCTTTAGGACTAAATTTATTTCCTCACTCCAGAATGACCAACTGTCTGGTAGCACTTTATAGACTAACAAAACATGTAGATGGTATCATGAGCTTTTGTGGGCACAGCCCACTTCAGATGACAGGAGTTTTGAGTTTAGGATGTGCAGACCCAATATAAATAGGGGAGAAAGATAAAAAGGAAAGGGCAGTAAATAAGGAGCAGACAGTAAGAAAATAAGGGAAAAGCAAATAGGCAGAACTGGTAATCAGTAAGCACCTAAAGATTGGATAGCTAAAAGAAGCAGATAAGGATCAAAAGACATCAATTATATAGGAATGGTACTAATGCAAGAATCTACACAGCCGTTGACACCTTCATTGACTGTTAGGTTGATAAAGTCCCAGCCATCCATTATCACAACTGACTAGGCTATCAGAGCAAGAATTGGAATTTGTAAATTAATTTAATTCCAATGCCTCTGTGTATTTGGCTAGTAGAATTGGTTTGAGACTAAATAGCCACTTGAAGAGCTTTTAAACAGTGATTAGGAAGATTGACGTGTTGCCCAACAGGTTTCTGTATGTTCCCTTTACATATATCTGATTTGTGTCCATTGATTCTTTCCTGCAGAGGCTGTCCAGTTTGTCCAATATATATATATAGAAGTGGGGCACTGCTGGCATAGATCAAATTACTGGATGTGCAGTCAAATGACATTTTGATTTGGTAGCTTATGTTGTTGGCTCCAGTGATGAATTCGCTTGTATAGATATGTGAGCAGAGTTGA